CTAGATCCCAGGACCCTGTGATCATGACCCAAGCCGAAGGCAGACATTTAACCGACTGTGCCACCCAAGCGCCCCAAGACTTTCATTCAAATATTCACTATTCTATGTATTCTGCTTAGTAAAGTTCCCCAAATTACCATCTGAGGTATTCGTTCTTCTTATTTACCCATATACCAATTACTGTTCCATTAAAAAAAAAAATCTATCATTTCTTCCAACATGTGCTACCAAATGACAATTCTTCCTAGTTAATATCTTGGACAACACGGGTAAAAACTAAGTCAAGATGAGACTTCAAAATGCTCTTTGCCTTCAAGTATTACTAAGCTCTAATGACTAACTATAGACCTAAGTGGGAAAAGTGGCTTGAGGGGTGCCTCAGTGGTGCAGTCAGTTAAGCATCCAACTCTGAATGTCGGCTCAGGTCGTGATCTCCAGGTTGTGAGATCGAATCCAGCATCAGGCTCTGCACTCAGTGGAGAGTTTGCCTGAGATTCTCTCTGTCCCTCTCCCTCTGCCCCTCACTCTCTAAAAACTAAATAAGTAAATAAAATCTTTAAAAAAAAATCAAGGCAGGGGCACCTGGGTGGCTCAGTTGGTTAAGCGACTGCCTTCGGCTCAGGTCATGATCCTGGAGTCCCGGGATCGAGTCCCGCATCGGGCTCCCTGCTCAGCGGGGAGTCTGCTTCTCCCTCTGACCCTCTTCCCTCTCGTGCTCTCTATCTCTCATTCTCTCTCTCTCAAATAAATAAAAATAAAATCTTAAAAAAAAAAAATCAAGGCAAAAACTGTTGGTGATTATTCACTGCAGTCTGTTATTCAGTTCATGTACAGACAGCCAAGTGTGTAGCTGAGTTGCCTCCTTGTCTCCTGGTGATGAACGTATGTGACATTTTACAAAAATGAATAAGCAAAATAGGGAAAGAGCCAACAATGATGAAAGTGTATCAAAGAAACAAAAAGTGATAATATTGGAAGTGAAATTCCAATCAAACATAAACAAAGTTATCAAAGAAATAGCAGATAATGACAATGTTGATTGCTGCCATTCAAGGGACTCTAGATATACAGCCAGAGGAACTTAGCAAAGGCAAACTTATCAACATAAATGAAAAAAGTGGTTGTGAGAAAAGGATGAAGATGGACCGGAAGAAGTAACAACAGCAAAAAAAACTCTGCATTAGAAGAACTCTCAGAGATATTTCACAATATTGAAAGTGCAAAGAGTAAAATGTTGAAACTGAACCAAACTTAGAAAGGAGTATGACAATTCATGAAGGCATAGAAAAATTACTCATTCCATATCATATGTTATATGACAAGAAAGCCAGCACTGTTCAAACTACTCTTGATTAGTTCTTTCACAAAGAAATAACACATTTTAATTCTCAATGTTTTTAATGTTTTAAATTACAGTGTACTAAATAACAGTTTTGCTATTTTTTCATTTCTCTATATATGTTTATAACCAACAATAAGAGGGTTTATGGTGTTTGACAAAGAAATTTGAAGGTCACAGAACAATTGTAACTTTTCCCACTGATTAGTAAGACTACCTTGCCAGGTTTTAACTTGCATGGTCACTACCATAAAGAGTGAGGACCGTCTGTACCTATAACTTCTGCCACACCAAGGAACATATTATTTCACAATTATAATTAAGAGGAAAAAACTACATTTTCCCCTGTCCTTACAATCTGATCAAACAAAAAAGGAATTTGGAAAAAAAAAAAAAAAAGAAGAATTTGAACTGATCTTGGGTGATATTAAAAAGGCAGATTTTCAGGTATTTCAGTGACTCAGAACTGCTTCCACATCTGAACGTGCAATTCCAGAAACTCATCTTTTTATTATTCAAAATATACACAGCCTAGTGCTAAAAGATAGGATTCTTGAATAATTATTCAATCTGTCCTTGTGATAGTGTACTATTTCACCTGTCCTCATACCTTGCATGCAGGGACAAAACAATGAAAGTGTGACAGAATATGGCATATAGTAGCTTTAGAATCAGACCTCAACCTGAATACTATCTCTACACCACATTTTGCAGTCTTAGGTAAAAAAATCAAAGAGGGGCACCTGGGTGGCTCAGTCAGTTGAGCGACAGACTCTTGATTGCTTGAAATCGGCTCAGGTCATGATCTCAGGGTCTGAGACTGAGCACCCCCATTCCAAGCTCAACAGGGAGTCTGCTTAAGATTCTCTCTCTCCGGCGCCTGGGTGGCTCAGTTGGTTAAGTGACTGCCTTCGGCTCAGGTCATGATCCTGGAGTCCCGGGATCGAGTCCCACATCGGGCTCCCTGCTCAGCAGGGTGTCTGCTTCTCCCTCTGACCCTCTTCCCTCTCGTGCTCTCTTTCATTCTCTCTCTCTCTCGAATAAATAAAAATAAAATCTTTAAAAAAAAAAAAAGATTCTCTCTCCCTCCCCCTCTGCCCCTCCCCCATCCCCACATGCAAGTGAGCGATCACTTGATCTGTCTCTTTCGCTCTCTCTCTCTCTCTAAAATAATAAATCTTTAAAAGGAAAAAAAAGAAGATAGATGAAGTGCTTAGCAAACAGTGTGGTACACAGTAAGCACTTAGATATGGCTTTTATCTCCATTATTATCTTTAATAGTTCTATCATTAATGTAAATATAAGAATGATAAAACTACATTTTTTAAAAAAGATTTTTTATTTACTTATTTATTTGACAGAGAGAGAGACAGCGTGAGAGGGAACACAAGCAGGGGGAGTAGGAGAGGGAAAAGCAGGCTTCCCGCGGAGCAAAGAGCCTGATGCGGGGCTCAATCCTGGGCTTGATCCCAGGACCCTGAGATCATGACCTGAGCCGAAGGCAGACGCTTAACGACTGAGCCACCCAGGCGCCCCCTAAACACACCATTTTTCGAAGATCAAGTTCTCTTACTCCAAAATATGACAGATACCCACTGCCTCCTGGATAAGAAGACTTGAACTCAACTTCCTCCCAATAATTTTCTCCCAAGGTACATGCGCAAAGGACAACCAACATTCACTTACCCTCTTCTTGCACCCCCTGATTCCTATGTCAAAACCCTCCCTGCAGTCTGCTCAGTTTCCTCCTCTAAGGACGGTAAGACCAAAAGCCATTTCCCATTTCTCAGAGCTATCTGGAAGAACAGTAGTATCTTGCACTCTCATAGCTCACATGACTTAACTGTCAGTTTTCTCTTGATTCTAATCCTTGGTTCTAAACTAAGAGCCATTATTATCTATATCCACCCATAAATATGCAAAGGACCTAAAGGCCAACTAAAGCCAACCCCTTTTTTTTACTAAACAATTCTCCATAAAAAAATTCATGTGAGTTAGCTGAGCAATGTCTGTTTCAAAACTTTCAGTGACCTCTAGCTCTCCTCAATCCATCCTATGATTCTTTGGTTTAAAAGCTCCCTTATGTTGAAGCAAAATCTCTCCGCTTACAGTTAGTTTCCACCCATATACTCTAATTCCACATTCTAGCGAAATACAGAAAGTTTAACTGCTCTATATGACTGACAGCCCATCCAAAATTTGAAGACCCCTGAGTTTCTCTTTTCCATGTTATACACTTCCAATTCACAAAGCATGGTTTTAGGTCTCTTCCTCTCACGGACCTTCTCTGGACCACGTATGGGCTTGCCAACATGACCTAACAGCAAATTGGTATAGCGCTTCCTTGCCAACACTTGGGCTGCCAAGTAATTACACTACAAATGATCACTTTGCCCATATACTTCCATTACTGTGTAAAAAATTATTACCCTAAACTAGTAGTTCTGGATAAGTGACTCTCAGGATAAATCATGGTTTAAAAGGAATGGTTTAAAGTCTTGAACACTACTAAGAGTTCGGTGTGTTGTTTTTTTTTTTAATTTAGTCAATTACTGTGAAAACAATAAGGTAGGATCAGCTGGCATGAAACTCTTGCCTCTTTCTTACAAAGCCAAACAAATGCCTGGGGAAAGGACCCAACAATGGGTAGGTTAGCAAAGAGTTGCTTCCTGTCCTGAGAAAGTGGATCCAATTAAAAGAAGAAATAGCCATAAAAAAAACCCCTCTGTACTTTGTCAGAAGCAGATAGGTACCCGAAGAAGGATCAAACATTGTGCTCTCAAAACTTAACCAAAGTAAACTGCATTAAAAAAAAAAAAAAAAAAAAAAAAGTGGAAGATTTTTGCCTGTGCTCCCCTAGCCTGATGGAATAAGATCTGGTGAAACACACACCCACCCACCCAGGGGGAAACTGGGGCCTGTCAGGGGCAGCACCTGGAGAAGGATGTTCCCCGAGTCCTCAGAAGGTGCAATCAGTGGAAGCAGTGCCCTCAGATGAACCCTAACCCTTAGGTAGTCGTAAAGGAGGCAGAGTGGCGCAGGGACTTGGTCCCTTGCGCTCTTGAGAGCCTGGCACCTTCCCTGGAGGTGACCGAAGAGGTCCGGCGAGAACAGACAAAGAGGAAGGGAAAGATCTGGGAGTTTTCACGGTTGGGGTAAGACTAAGCTAGGACCTGTTCCTTTCTCCTGTGCCCTTAGGCCGAAGGTGGTGGCAGCGACAGTAGGAGCAGGTGTCCCGGGCCCTCATTCTAACGAGCAGAATCCTCCACTCTCCCAACCTCTCTTGGGCCGCCCCAGCCTGCCCCACTCCTCCCCTCCGACAGGAATTCCCATCCCACCCCTACCCTTCAGGCCTCCCCTCAGGTCCAGCGGGGGTTCCCCACTTCTCTCCCACTCCCCCAAACTCACCCCCCCCGCAAACCGTCCAGACCCCGGCACGCCTCACCCGACACACTGGATTCCCCCATCCGCTCCCCTCCTCAGCAGCCTCCCAGTCCTGCCCCCAGGCCAGGGCTCCCCACTCCACCTCCCCGGCCAGGCCTGGTGCCTCCCCTGGCGGCCAGGTCCGCCCTTCGCCTTCCTCACGCGGCGTCTCCCCTCAGACCGGCGCCCTGCCTCCCTGCCTCCCGCCTCAGGCCCGGGCGCTGGCGCCCGCACTCACAGAACTCGGCGATGTACCAGGTCACCGCGTAGTTCTCCTCGCACCAGTCCAGCGTGGACGTCGTGGGACCCCAGTAGCCCTCGCGGTCCGCGGCCGGAGCCATAGCGCACGCTGCCGCTGCCGCCGCCGCCGCCCAGGCGCTCCTCCGCTTGCTGCGCTCGGCTCGGCAGGCTCCCAGGCCGGCTTTGGCCCTGCTCGCGCGCTCACCGCAAGCCCTCCCCGAGGGGCGGAGCCGGCGCCGTCAGCGGCAGTGCCCGGCGGGGAGACCCCGCCCACCGGCGCCGCCAGGCCGCCCGAGCCGTGCCGGCGCCCCGCCCATCCCGAGGGCGCTGGGGTTTCCCTCGGCCCCCTTCTTCCCAGGGAAGGGGTGTGATCTGGCCACGGGGGCGATGGTTCCCCGGGCTGCCTGTCCCGGTCAGACACACCGCTGGCTGTAGGTCTGGGGCTCCTGATAAGCCTGAGGCTGTTCTCTGTCTGGACGTGTCTGAGCCTCTATCTCTGTGTCTGTGTGCGTGGTTTGATATTTAACTAGGGCGGGGTGGGGTGAAGCCTTCGACAAGCTCTGGCTTGATAAAACCTGTGCAAAGATGCACTTCTGTGTCTTCTTTTGAGGGCAGGCCTCAAACGGAGCCCGGAAACAGAACTCTCCCAGCCCCGGGGAATTCTAGGAAATAGTGATTTTCTGATAAAGGTATAGGTAAGTGTCTCCTGGGATCAAAGGGAAAGGGCAACAGCCCTGGAGGGAGAAAAAAAAAGGAGGGGAGTTGAAATCCTATAAAAGAATGCAGCCAAAGCACTAAAGCAGAGCTGCTTCAGTTTGGGCTTTCAATCCCAGAGGTTTCCACAGGCTACCTATAATTTTACTCTACTCTCCAGGCAACCAACAGCCTCCCCTACTTCCAGCCTCAAGACTAATACTACACTGCGCTGCCGGAGGGATCTTTAGAAAAAACACAAACGCAACCGTTCCTGCCCCTGTGTAGTGTTCAACTACACGAACTCTTCCCTAGCTCAGAATGTGCTGGGGCCATTCCCATCTCAGCCTTTGTCCCTGCTGTTCAGCTGGGACTGCCTTCCTCTCTTCATTTGGCTAACTCCCCCTGGCCCTTTAAAATCCAGCATCCTGGGAGCCTCGTGGCTCAGTCGGTTGAGCGGGTTGAGCATCTGCCTTCCGCTGGGGTCCTGATCCCAGAGTGCTCAGCGGGGAGTCTATTGCTATCTCTGCCCGCCGCTCCCCTGCTTATGCTCTCTCTCAAAAATAAATTAAATCTTTAAAAATAAAAAAATCCAGCTTCCTGAAGCACTTCCTAATTGTCACCCCCAAAAGCTCCCTTGCCTTTGTTCATACTCTCCAGTGATACATCCTGATAAGAAAGCTTGCTGTTCATTCTTTATGGTCAAGGCACCCAGGAACCAGTTTGACATAAAGATTATAGTTAAGGATGATACAATTGCTATTTTCTAAAGGAACTCGTCGGGGCGCCTGGGTGGCTCAGTTGTTGGTCGTCTGCCTTCCGCTCGGGTCATGATCCCAGGGTCCTGGGATGGAGTCCCACATCGGGAGCCCTGCTCAGCGGGAGGCCTGCTTCTCCCTCTCCCACTCCCCCTGCTTGTGTTCCCTCTCTAGCTGTGTCTCTCTCTGTCAAATAAATAAATAGAATCTTTAAAAAAAAATAATAAAGGAACTAGTCAGATAAGGTGCAATCACAGGTAAAAGAGAAAACAGGGGAGATGTGCCCACAGCGTCTGGGCAAAGTGACCCTAGCAGATGATAGATGCAAAATCTTTACTTTCAGGGTGCTGAACCTAGGAATAGAGGCAGTGTGTATTAATAGAAATAGCAGGATATCTGAAAATTTTCTTTCCAATAGCAGACACTGAGCTTCTGCTATGTACCTGGCCCTTGGCTGGGTGCTGGAACACACTGAAGTGTATAGGAAAAATCCAAGAGGGCCAGTCTCCAGAGAAATAAAAGTCACTGAAGTGTGGGAAAACTTCTATTTCTAAGCATTTTTAAAATCTCAACCTCTAAAATGTTTTGTGTGTTTTTAATATGTATAATAATCATGTATATATAAGTTATAAGTGAATAAATATACATATATTTGTATATTCAAAGTGAACCTGCAGAAATACATACTCAAAAGTGATTTGCTGGAGTTGGAGTGCCTGGCTGGCTCAGTCAGTAGGGCATGCGAGTCTTGATCTTGGGGTTGTGAGTTTGAGCCCCATGTTAGGTGTAGAGTCTACTTAGAAAGAAAATCTTAAAAAGAAAAACATGATTTGCTGACGAAATTACAATGAAAACAGCGTAGAGACCACCAAAGTAGAGTGTGATAGTATTTTGCTTGGACTAAATAAAAAATTAGGGTGTTGTGGGGCACCTGGGTGGTTCAGTTGGTTAGGCGGCTGCCTTCAGCTCTGGTCATGATCCTGGGGTCCTGGGATCAAGCCCTGCATCTGCATCTGGCTCCCTGCTCAGTGGGGAGCCTGCTTCTCCCTCTCCGGCTCCCTCTGCTTGTGTTCCCTCTCTCTCCATCAAATAAATAAAAATCTTAAAAAAAAAAAAATTAGGGTGTTGTGGAAAGAACCCCTGACCCAGCCAAGTGACTCAAGACAGGAGATGAAGTCAAAATCAATACCCTGCACATTTCATCACATTTTCATCAACAATGAAAAAAAAAAAAATCTACGGTGACCAGGACAAGTTTTAGGAGAGAAAAATTCCCCTGACCAAGAAAATAGGTGCACAGCAGAAGTATCACTCTCAGAAAACAAAACGGATTTCATAGTACCATCAGCAATGTCTATCTTTCTCTCTTTCTAACAAAATTTTCCCAATTATAAAAACAATGCATAGAAATGTAAGGGACCCTGAAAAGCCAAAACTATCTCGAAAAAGATCAAAGTTGGAGGACCCACACTTCCCAATTTCAATACTAAAAACTACACTAATCAAGGGAGTGTAATACTGGTATAAGGATAAACATGTAGATTAATGGAATAGAATGAAGAGTCCAGAAACAAACCCTTAAGGTTTTGGTCAGTTGATGTCCAAAAGGGACGCTAAGACAATTCAATAGGGAAAGAATAGTCTTTTCAATAAATGGTGCTGTGACAACTGGATATCCACATGCAAAAGAATGAAATTAGACTCCTTGCCACAGTAAACAAAATTAATTCAAAATGGATCATAGAGTTACATGTAAGCACTAAAACTATAAAACTCTTAGTTTACATAAAAGTAAATGTTTGTAACCTTGGGTTAGGCGGTGGTTTCTTATATAAAATAACAAAGCACAAGCAATGAAAGAAAAAATAGATAAATTGGGCTTCATCAAAATTAAAAACTTTTTGTTGCAAGTAATACCATCAAGAAAGTAAAAAGACAACCCAAAAATGGGAAGAAATATTTACAAATAATATATCTGATAAGAGACTTGTGTTCAGAATATATAAAGACCTTTTACAACTTAATAAAAACACACAAAAAAAATTAAAAATGGGCAAAGCATATGGCTAGACATTTCTCCAAGGGAGATAAATGCCAATAATCACATGAAAAGTTGCTCATGGGGGCACCTGGGTGGCTCAGTTCTTAAGCGTCTGCCTTTGGCTCAGGTCATGATCCCGGGGTCCTGGGATGGAGCCCCACATCAGGCTCCCTGCTCGGGGGGAATCCTGCTTCTCCCTCTGCCACTCCCCCTGTTTGTGTTCCCCTCTCTCGCTCTTCTCTCTCAGTCAAATAAATAAATAAAATCTTAAAAAAAAAAGATGCTCATGTTTGCCATTAGAGAAATGCAAATCAAAACCACAATGAGATGCCACCTCACATACGCTAGGGTGACTATAATCAAAAAAACAATAACAAATATTATCAAAGACGTACAAAAATTGGAACCTTCATACAATGATGGTATGTAAAATGATACGACCACTTTGGGAAACAGTTTGGCACTTCTTCAGAATACTCAGCAGAGTTACCATAGGACCTAACAATTCTACTCTTAGCTATAAGCTAAGAAATTTGAAAACATGGCCACAAAAAAATTGTACAAGAATGTTCATAGCAGCTTTATTCATAATAGCCAAAGAGTGGAAACTGATGAATGGATTAATAAAATATAGACTATCCATGCAATGGAATATTATTTGACAATAAGAAGAAATGAAATACTGATGCATGATACAGTATGAATCAACCTTGAAAACATTATGCTACATCAAAAAAGCCAAACACAAAAGGGTACATATTGTAAGATTCCATTTATATAAAACATCCAGAATAGGCAAATCTTTAGATAGTAATAAAGTAAAGTAGATAGAAAGTAAATCAGTGGTTGGCTGAAACAGGGAATGGGAAGTGATTGCTAATGGGTACAAGGTTTCTTCTGGGACAGTGAAAGTGTTCTAAAATTAGATGTGGTAATGGTTGCACAACTCTGAATATGCAAAAAAATAAAATAAAATTGTATACTTTATATTTTTTTAAGATTTTTTATTTTTTAAAGTAATCTCTATACCCAACATGGAGCTCGAACTCAACCTTGAGATCGAGTCTCACATCCACCAACTGAGCCAGCCAGGTGCCCTCGAATTGTATACTTTAAAATGTACAGTAAGTATTCTAAATGACTGAACAGTATGGTAGATTGATTATATCTTAATTAAGCTGTTTTTCTTTAAGATCTTATTTGAGGGGCGCCTGGGTGGCTCAGTCCGTTAAGCGACTGCCTTCGGCTCAGGTCATGATCCTGGAATCCCTGGATCGAGTCCCACATCGGGCTCCCTGCTCAGCGGGGAGTCTGCTTCTCCCTCTGACCCTCCCCCCTCTCACGTGCTCTCGCTCTCTCTTTCATTCTCTCTCGCTCTCAAATAAATAAATAAGATCTTAAAAAAATAAAAAAAATAAAAAAAAGATTTTATTTGAGAGAGAGCGCGCATGGGTGAGCATAGAGGGGCACGGAGGCAGAGGGAGAGGGAGACTCCCCGCTCAGCAAGGAGCTGAACATGGGTGCAATCCCAGGACCCTGAGATCATGACCTGAGCCAAAGTCAGACACTTAACCAACTGAGCCACCCAGGTACCCCAATAATGCTGTGTTTTTAAAGAAAGTAATATATTCTTATATTGGAAAATTTAGAAAACTGAAAAAATAAAGGAAATCACTCACAATCCCACCAACCAGCAATAACCATTGTTGACATG